CTGAAAAGACAAATAAATGGATGTTTGACAAAAGCCAATTACGTATGATTGAGGTCAGCAGTTGACACCTTTTGTGACTGACCATTGATGACCAAATTATTGATGTCCATCAGTAATGTCAGCGAGCGTCTAACAAATTATTGATGTCCATCAGTAATGTCAGCGAGCGTCTAACAAATTATTGATGTCCATCAGTACGGAGGAGGGCGGGCTAGGTTGTAAGGGAATTTAAAATAAAGACATTTCAAAACAACTGCAAAATTCTCCTGCAATGTCACGTTATCACATTCGACGTCACTGCACATTGGGCATTCCCATGTGTGCTCAGTGCTCCGATGCAACAACCTACTCGAATGTACTTCTACCAACTTTTTCTTTCTATACCGACTGTGTACTGGTCTTGCACTAAAGTGGTATTCTGAAAACGTCTCACCAATAGTTGTTTGATTCTCAACTACCACTAATACACTTGGGCATACATTACACTCTTGCACATTTCACTAAAACAAACCATTTGCATAACAGTATTTTTTTACATGGTTGGTGATAGCGGCAATAGGTCTGGATAAAATAACGAATTAACGAGAAACTGTGTTTTCATTGTTGTGCAGTTTTCTTACTTAACATTCAGCTGATCAAAATTGCAGGCCAGTATCTGGCTGCTTCTGCATCCAACCAGCTTTTGTGTTTGTTTATTATTATCATTGTTGTTGTTGTTATGGTTATTATTATTTTTATTATTATTATTATTATTATTTGGGAGCTGTATAAGGGAGAACTCCGCTTCACGGAGATATGTAACTGAGAAAGGTAACAACACTAATTTTGCTTTCGCAGACAAGAATTTGAATTCTTTTTACAATGTGTAGCAGTTAATAAAACTAATTTACTCATTTTAGCGTTTGCCAAACAAATGACATGTGCTAAAATAAGGAATCAGACACCAGATAGATACAATTCAGAATATGTAAAAAAAAAAAAAAAAACGTACTAATCTAAGTATCCTTACCTCATTCATTACAATGCGTGGTCGTGGGGGAGGGGAGGGGCGCTCAAAACCCCATGAAAACATTGTAGAGAGAGAGAGTGGTCTGACCCTTCCCAATCCCCCCCCCCCCCAGAACATGTGTAAGTGGGTTGACCCCCCCCCCCCCCCCCCCGCCTCCCAAATAACATATATGAGTTAAACGATGACTCCCCCTAAACATGTGTAGAAGTTTTTGGATTCAAATTTATGTTTTCACTTTTCATATTACTACATATATATTATTATACTGATTTATCATTTACCAGTTATTATTACGCACTTAAACAGGCTTAGATCCCACTAAGCTCCTATGAAACATTTCCAAGACGACACCAAGCCCTCACACCCCAACTCCCATTGTTTCCTCGTGTCAACGCTCATGGTGCCACTGGTTCTTCTAAACAACCTAACTATAAACTCTTTAACGTTGAAATGTTATCATTACTGCGACATCTTCTGGGTTATATTATTATTTTAATTGCGTCAGGAACAAACAGTTGCTGGTTACAGTGACAACTTTGTCAGGAACAGAATCAGTACAGTTGCTGGTTACAGTGACAACTTTGTCAGGAACAGAATCAGTACAGTTTCTGGTTACAGTGATAACTTTGCCAGGAACAGAATCAGTACAGTTGCTGGTTACAGTGATAACTTTGTCAGGAACAGAATCAGTACAGTTGCTGGTTACAGTGATAACTTTGTCAGGAACAGAATCAGTACAGTTGCTGGTTACAGTGATAACTTAGTCAGGAACAGAATCAGTACAGTTGCTGGTTACAGTGACAACTTTGTCAGGAACAGAATCAGTACAGTTGCTGGTTACAGTGACAACTTTGTCAGGAACAGAATCAGTACAGTTGCTGGTTACAGTGACAACTTTGTCAGGAACAGAATCAGTACAGTTGCTGGTTACAGTAACAACTTTGCCAGGAACAGAATCAGTACAGTTGCTGGTTACAGTGACAACTTTGTCAGGAACAGAATCAGTACAGTTGCTGGTTACAGTGATAACTTTATCAGGAACAGAATCAGTACAGTTGCTGGTTACAGTGATAACTTTGTCAGGAACAAACAGTTGCTGGTTACAGTGACAACTTTTTCAGGAACAGAATCAGTAGAGCAATTTCTGTCGGCGACTCCAAGAGTTAGAACAAACTGACGTCACACTTAAGTCAAGAACAAAATACCACTTGCGCAGCAGTTCAGACAGGTACAGGTTGTGACAGGCAGGTACAGGTAGTAACAGACAGGTACAGGTTGTGACAGACATGTACATGTTGTGAGAGATGTGAACAGGTTGTGACAGACATGTACATGTTGTGACAGACACGTACAGGTTGTGACAGACAGGTACATGTTGTGACAGACAGGTACAGGTTGTGACAGACAGGTACAGGTTGGTGACATACTGGTACAAGTTGTGAAAGACAGGTACAGGTTGTGACAGACATGTACATGTTGTGAGAGATCTGAACAGGTTGTGACAGACATGTACATGTTGTGACATACACGTACATGTTGTGACAGACAGGTACATGTTGTGACAGACACGTACATGTTTTGAAAGACAGGTACATGTTGTTGCAGACAGGTACAGGTTGTGACAGACATGTACATGTTGTGACAGACACGTACAGGTTGTGACAGACAGGTACATGTTGTGACAGACACGTACAAGTTGTGACAGACAGGTACAGGTTGTGACAGACAGGTACAGGTTGGTGACATACAGGTACAGGTTATGAAAGACAGGTACAGGTTGTGACAGACATGTACATGTTGTGAGAGATGTGAACAGGTTGAAATAGACATGTACAGATTGTAACAGACAGGTACAGGTTGTGACAGACAGGTACAGGTTGAGACAGACAGGTACATGTTGTGACAGACGCGTACATGTTGTGACAGACACCTACAGGTTGTGACAGACAGGTACAGGTTGTGACAGACAGGTACAGGTTGTGACAGACACCAACAGGTTGTGACAGACAGGTACAGGTTGTGACAGACAGGTACAGGTTGTGGCAGACAGGTACAGGTTGTGACAGACAGGTACAGGTTGTAACAGACACGTACAGGTTGTAACAGACAGGTACAGGTTGTGACAGACAGGTACAGGTTGTGACAGACACCTACAGGTTGTAACAGACACGTACAGGTTGTAACAGACAGGTACAGGTTGTGACAGACAGGTACAGGTTGTGACAGACACGTACAGGTTGTGACAGACGCGTACAGGTTGTAACAGACAGGTACAGGTTGTGACAGACAGGTACAGGTTGTGACAGACGCGTACAGGTTGTGACAGACGCGTACAGGTTGTGATAGACAGGTACAGGTTGTGTCAGACACCTACAGGTTGTGACATACACGTACAGGTTGAGACAGACAGGTACATGTTGTGACAGACAGGTACATGTTGTGACAGACACCTACAGGTTGTGACAGACAGGTACAGGTTGTGACAGACAGGTACAGGTTGTGACAGACACCTACAGGTTGTGACAGACAGGTAAAGGTTGTGACAGACAGGTACAGGTTGTGGCAGACAGGTACAGGTTGTGACAGACAGGTACAGGTTGTAACAGACACGTACAGGTTGTAACAGACAGGTACAGGTTGTGACAGACAGGTACAGGTTGTGACAGACACCTACAGGTTGTAACAGACACGTACAGGTTGTAACAGACAGGTACAGGTTGTGACAGACAGGTACAGGTTGTGACAGACACGTACAGGTTGTGACAGACGCGTACAGGTTGTAACAGACAGGTACAGGTTGTGACAGACAGGTACAGGTTGTGACAGACGCGTACAGGTTGTGACAGAAGCGTACAGGTTGTGACAGACAGGTACAGGTTGTGTCAGACACCTACAGGTTGTGACATACACGTACAGGTTGTGACAGACAGGTACAGGTTGTGACAGACAGGTACAGGTTGTGACAGACACCTACAGGTTGTGACAGACACCTACAGGTTGTAACAGACAGATGCAGGTTGTGACAGACAGATACAGGTTGTGACAGACAGGTAAAGGTTGTGACAGACACCTACAGGTTGTGACAGAGACCTACAGGTTGTGACAGACAGGTACAGGTTGTGGCAGACAGGTACAGGTTGTGACAGACATGTACAGGTTGTGACAGACATGTACAGGTTGTGACAATCAGGTACAGGTTGTGACAGATATGTACAGGTTGTGACAGATATGTACAGGTTGTGACAGACATGTACAGGTTGTAATAGATATGTACAGGTTGTGACAGACACCAACAGGTTGTGACAGACAGGTACAGGTTGTGACAGACAGGTACAGGTTGTGGCAGACAGGTACAGGTTGTGACAGACAGGTACAGGTTGTAACAGACACGTACAGGTTGTAACAGACAGGTACAGGTTGTGACAGACAGGTACAGGTTGTGACAGACACCTACAGGTTGTAACAGACACGTACAGGTTGTAACAGACAGGTACAGGTTGTGACAGACAGGTACAGGTTGTGACAGACACGTACAGGTTGTGACAGACGCGTACAGGTTGTAACAGACAGGTACAGGTTGTGACAGACAGGTACAGGTTGTGACAGACGCGTACAGGTTGTGACAGACGCGTACAGGTTGTGATAGACAGGTACAGGTTGTGTCAGACACCTACAGGTTGTGACATACACGTACAGGTTGAGACAGACAGGTACATGTTGTGACAGACAGGTACATGTTGTGACAGACACCTACAGGTTGTGACAGACAGGTACAGGTTGTGACAGACAGGTACAGGTTGTGACAGACACCTACAGGTTGTGACAGACAGGTAAAGGTTGTGACAGACAGGTACAGGTTGTGGCAGACAGGTACAGGTTGTGACAGACAGGTACAGGTTGTAACAGACACGTACAGGTTGTAACAGACAGGTACAGGTTGTGACAGACAGGTACAGGTTGTGACAGACACCTACAGGTTGTAACAGACACG